GTTAATGTATCATTTTATAACTTAAAAGAATATCTTTTATGTTCCTAAAAATACGGTTAAGACTATCGTTATCACAAAAACGCAACATCGTTAAGAGTTACAAGGTATCGATTATATGCGTGGACTGAAAACACCACAATTATGTTTTGTTGTAGCCACATTCTCCTGAACTAGTCAATGTGCAGTTTCAAATTTCTGAAGAGACAGCCAAACAATCGACAGGGATTGAAATACTTGAGGAGGCTGGCCATAGAAATCCTGAGGTCCTTAAGGTGCCTGTGACACGACTCTATCGGGAGTTTTAATACATCGTACTCAAATAGTAAAGAAGAAATGGAAGTTGCGAATACGGTTAAGCCCCACGAAGGGGAACTGCGTGCATCAAACGAAGATTTTGACGAAGACTGACTAAGACGGTTTCTCGAACGCGGTGTTCAGGTCAAGAATAGAACAAAAGAACTCCCGTCACTGAATGTTTAGTTTGTTGAGTTTGTGTTCTGTTTTCAATGGCGAAATCTATGCTACTGAATGGGCTGTGTTCGTTTCTGTTGACATAACATTTTATTCCTTCGCATTATCCTACCTTCTAGATTTCTCAATTCTCCACCATAGTTGCCGACGTATCTTCACAGTTTTCTACTTGACAACGATAAAACATGATGGCTTTGGCCGCACTCTTATTGGAGACACTTTTTGGCCGCCAAATCGTACTTTCAATACGCAAAAAATGGTCAAATTGCTAACGGTAAGAATATTGGCCATTTTACGACTAGCAGTTAACCGCATATAATGACATACTGGAGATAGGAAAATATATCTCTTTTAAAATATATCTCTTTTTAACACTATTGGCTGAGTTTTTAGGCTGTTTACGGCTAACGGTTGACCCCACTGAGACCCTCACATAGGCCTGAAAATAATGAGTAGTGACGGAGAATTGTGGGTTTAAACGTTCAGACTGTGATGTGAATAACAGGTGGGTGAGAAGAACATCACAGTGAAATGCCTGAAATGCGCCCGGTTTCATTGCAGCTCCCGTC